CTGAAGTGGAAGCTGAGCTGTTGAATGTGTATCGCGATGAACAGTAGTGCAGTGGACCCTGATCAGCGCCGTGAATTGTGGTCAACGCAACAGACCGTCGACAGTGTACGGACTGAGCGTTAGTGCAGAAGAAGTGAACAGTGTAAATAAATAATCAAGAGAACAGAGTCGTGTGTAAGGAAATAACCACTCTGTATAACCTATCTGTAAATTAAACGACTATTTTAATGTATCATTAAGAAACAAAATAAACGTCTTTGTTAAAATATTACCTGTGTTTTAATTTACAACTGATTAACGTTACATTATTATTATTATTATTATTATTATTATTATTATTGTTATTATTATTATTATTATTAAATAGTTTGCTGAATACGGTGAAAGGAATAGGTCAGGCTCGTTACATGTCCCACTTACCCCCAGCGTGGAAATTAATCCAGGTTCAGGCATGGGGGACACCGTTAGCTAGCTGACAAAGTCGGACAAAAAAGTCCTAAATGCTAAATACATAAATACATTATTATTAATTTTTTGGGAAGTGCTTTTGTGGGTTGGGAATTGTGGGGAGGAAGGATCGTGTGGTAGGGGTAGGCTTGCCATACCCGACATGAGGCCGTCGCGGAACAGCAGGTACTCCATGGCGGTGGCCCAGTTGAGGGGCTGCGTGTCGGCGTCGTCGATGAAGAAGTTGAGCACGTGGCCCACGTGGTTGTGCAGGTTGCGGCCGACGCCCGGCAGATGGTGCAGCGGCGCCACGCCCACCGCGCGCAGCTCGTCCTGCGGCCCGATGCCCGACAGCAGCAGCAGCTGCGGCGTCGCCACCGCCCCCGCGCTCACCACCACCTGCCACAGCATCACCGTCAGACCGTCACCACCTCCAAAGGGCACTACAAGTGACACTGGATGAACATTGCCGTGGCTACGGTAGATACCACACACGGACTCAAATAGAGCAAATGCTGTAATGTATTAAGTATTTAACGGTCGGGTTTTCTCGCGAACCCTAGGAGGAAAAATTCTTCTTACACCTTTCTTCGAAGGGGAAGTAAAGTCGGCTGTCCCATGTTGTAGATTTACTGAATGTAAAACCTAAAAGAAGCCTTTCGGCTATATTCAAAATGGCATGTTTATTCGCCCGAGTAATACCTTGTTTCTCCGTTATACGGTGAAAGGAGCCTTGAGATTTGCTTGTTCAGACGGAAAAGCAGTCCAGAAGGCCTGAGCCTCGCCTCATAAAATAAGTCATAAAATTAATTCATTGAAGCTCCCCGTGTTTTTGTAAACCTCTGTCGAAATGACGTCTCCCAATTTGCAATGAAGTACCCCTGTATTTACTTATTTTATTTTGTAGATGGTTATTTCTTGGCTACTTTAATAAGTTCTTTTTTACCCGATCGAAATAATTGAACTTTAATATCGGTTTGTCTATGTGGGAGAAATGTACATCTAAGATATCATTCTGATTCATAACTGATTCTGAATTTCATTGACCAAAACTCAATTTATGTTTTACTGACTTAACTTTTTTCTGCGTTTATTATGTTAACGACTTATTCGTGATTTTTAATTTAAAAATACAGGAAACGTACACATTTAGATAAATGCCATTAAGATAAAAATGAGAAGAGAAATATCATCGCATTGCCTCAATATTGTGTTAGTGAGAGTGATATGACTCAGTTCACTTTCACTTCAACGCGAAATGTCTATGCCATCCTCCTGAATGCTGTGCAGCACAGACATTGTAATGACGGCTGTTAATTTCTTCCCGCAAAGAACCTTTAAATAACAATGCAAGTAATAGTACTAAATTACCAGCATCTTAAATTTCGCACCATCACTCATCGCACAAAAACCTAGCGCTTGGCACAGACGTGCTTTTCACTCGCTGATTATCCATCAAAGATTTGTCTTTTGTACACCTCTGAGGAGATGAAGAAATGATGAAATAATGAAGAAAACACAAGATTATAAATTACTTTTTCACAAGAAGCTTTAAGTAAGACATTTCTCGGTTTTATTCGTGTTATAAACGAATAAATGTTTCCGGCACCTGTTCTTGACTGATATTTATGTTCGTGAAAATAGTTGAGGCTAATCAATAGGATGGGTAAACGTTGCCAATTGTCAAAACAAATGGAAATGCATACCAAGAAAAATATATTCTGAACAAATATACCTGGTTATCATCTTTTAAAGCATCTTTTCAAATATTAATTCAATGTTTCGCACTTTTAAAGACTATGTGGAAGGTTAATTTTGAACACAAATTTAACGATTCAAAAATAATTTTTTATTGTAAAAATTTGTTTTATAATGGTATCTAACATCTCTAAATAAACCTATTTACATTTTATGAATCAAAATGGTCTAATAATCTGATGTTCCTTCTTGGTATTAGGATTTATTATTATTATTATTATTATTATTATTATTATTATTATTATTATTATTATTATCATCAAAATTGGCATTAAATTTTGGCAAAATTACAGATTGAACTACATTTTAGTTCGTATCCACTTAATATCCAAATTGACCATACTATAAGTAAATATCAAAGGTAATTAACATTCCTAACATCTAGGGTAAAAATATCCGTTAAGGTGGATCCAGTACATCGCGACTGCGTTGAGCGTTGGCACACTGCCCGAGCAAAGCAGAGTTAGCCTTCATATTATGCTTGTAGTGGAATAATCCATAGGCCGACTAAACGCGTACTTACTGCCCTCAGGATAGTCAACCCCGATATATTTTTGAAGAAATTATACACTAGTTAAAAAATGTTGATTCACATACGAAAGGAGTTCAATTCAAATATTAAACACGAGTTATCCAAAATTGTCTCGATATCAGGGAACTAAAATACTCATTTTCTGCTAAGAAATCGCCTGTTGTTGCTGCAGCATATACAACTTGCTGTATACTGCGAATATGTATGTGTTCGAGAAAGCAAAATAGATTTATTATTTCTAAAATATCCGCCAACAAATGTAGACAAGTAATAATTTACATATATATATTGTATTTAATATGCAATTACGAAATTTGTAAATCGAAGGGTTCTAGTTTTATTTTTATATTGATTTGGTTACATGTGCTAAATATTACACCGCCACCTCCTGCAATAAACGCATACATTACACTTACGGGTCTGATGACCATAGCAGATATCACGCACCGAAAATCAATAAATCGATTACTATCAATCAATATTTCAATATTGATCGATATATTGATTGATTGTCCCATTGTCAATATTGAATGTCCCATATGTCGGACACGCTCCAAATCATCAATCACTTTATGAATCAATATTTCAATATTGATTGATATATTGATTGCTTGTCCCAATGCCAATATTGGATGTCCCATATGTTGGACACGCTTGCAGACGTACCTCGTTCCTGGCGTGCACGACGACGAGGTCGCCGGTGTCGCCGCGCCGCAGCTCCACGCCCACCGCGCGCCGCGCCGTCGCGTTGAGCAGCACGCGCGTCACCGTGGCGTTGAGCAGCACGTGCAGGTTGGGCCGCGCGCGCGCGGGCCGCAGGAAGGCGCGCGCGCTGCTCAGGCGGCTGCCGTTGCGCGTGGTCGTCTGCGCGATGGCGAAGCCCGTGTGGCGCGCGCCGTTCACGTCCCGCACCGGGTGGCCCAGCTCGCGCGCCGCCTAGGGGGCACGGAAGCGCGCTCAGCTTAACACGAGTTCAATACATAGTACAACAGCTACTAAACTCAACACGCACCACAACAACCCATCTAGTATAACTACACTTCAATATTTTAACACGAGCTCAGTACTTGGTACAACTACTTAGCTCAACACATACCACAAGAACCCATTCTATAACTATACTTCAATATTTTAACACGAGCTCAATACTTAATACAACTACTAAGCTCAACACGTACTACAACAACCCATTCTATAACTATACTTCAATATTTTTTAAACACATTAATTTTTTTTAAATACCTAACAGCCACTGTTTTGGATTTCGCACAAGTGTTTGATTATGTCTATCACCAAGGCTTACTTTACAAATTACGACACATAAGAACTTCCGAATATTTATTGAACATAATACACAGTTTCATCTCAAATCGCTTTTCGTCGCGGTCGAATTAAACAATTATATTTTATCTCTCTCAACAATCTTTGCTGGGGTCCCGCAAGGGCCACAGCACAACACAAACTAAAATTACAACACGTATTAAGTTCAACACATTCAACAGCTCCCAATATATATTCAACACGTGTGTACATATTCCCTTTGTACGTTCTCTTGATCGTTTGTTTAGCTTTGTTCGTTTAGCTCAGAACCAGCATTGCTGCTGACGATGCAGCGACTCTCACCAGGCGGTCCTGTTTTTCGTCCAGCTGGATTTTCGACACTATCTAGTTCGGATTCAGCCGCTGTCCGGGGAAGAATTCTAGTTATAGGCTGCTCTTGGCAATAGTTTTTCGTGGTTTCTACAATCAATTCCAGGCGAATACCGGGGCATTACCTAACAAATCGGCCATGGACCGCGCGCGATCTTTCATTTCCAATCCTTGTCCCCTCTCTCCCTTTATGCAGGCTCACTTATACGCACTCCTCACGCGTCGGGAAGCCAGTCGGGAGCTTAGAGTTTGTCCCGGGGGAGATTCTTGGAGGACGAAATCCCGACAAGCCGACTTGAAGGTCGGCATCGGATCTTACCATCCAGTGGCGGAGAAACACCGCCACGCACTGGGATAAGTACTATTCACTACACTTACAGGACTATCGATAATAACAGTTGAGGTGTCCGGAAACATCAGACAATCCTAGCTTACATTTTACTAACTTTGTGCCTGGATTTTCGTACTACTTTAGTGCCTTACTGCCTTACTTCCTTAGATGTTCTCCCATGGCTGAGGATTATTACTTTAATTAGAGCCACTGTGGCACATATAGAGGAAATGCATGGGCAAGAGTGTGTAGAGTTAACATGAGTGGATGAAGAACGTATTTTAGAACGTCCGCGCAGTTCCGAGGTGTGACGAGTCAAAGACAAAAGAATGTTAAGTGAGATCGTGAACAATAAATATGCTAGTTTACAAACATTGAGGTTTGTTTTGTTTGTCTCCGGGAAGGAGGCTAGATAAAGGACTGAAGATTATTCCAAACGGCCGTAATAAAGATGTCGTTTGAATATTTGAGGTTTTCAGAAAGTTCGAGATAGAGGGAGAATTAACTTGCCGATAAGAAAACACACGCAGTGACACTGAAAAAATTAATGTTCCTGCCGAAAATCCGTCGTTTTCCAGCACGCCATTGTATATGTTTTTCCTTTTTGGGAGGTACTTCGTAAGAAGAGAAAGTAAAAAGATTCTAAATGTTCGTACATAACAAATGGATCTATTAAAAATTAAAAGCTAATGTATCGTTTCCATCGCCAATTCTCGGCAAAGCTTCGACATTTGGCCTCCGCTATTTAAATAAAGCAACACTGAGTTCTTGCTACGCAGAATTTCACGCAAATTATTGTACACCATAAGCACGATTATAACTCTGAATTGCCAAAATTGTTAGCAAGTCAGGTCAGATTTCGACTTCCAGCCTTCACTATATAACACTTTTTAGTTGCGTGAGACGATGTGTTTATCCATTTAAGATATAAACACGTATTTCTGCTAGTACTTCTCTGCAAATTGTCTATTAAGAGTAATGTACCAGTAACTTATTTTTAAAATATTCTTTGTTTCCTTGTTTTAAAAAATCTCGTTTCTAGAATTTAGAGTGCTAAGCGGAGTCGAATAATTCTCTCTCTTGTAATGTGATGTCTCGTGACACGGGAAGATGTTTATAAAAATCGATTAAATACCAGCTCATTCGTAATAGAAGTCTCGTAAGAACTTATGTATCTAGCTATACCTTTGACGTTTCCTATTTTACTCAGTATCGCTCAGGTATTAGTTTTTTTTCGGAAACTTCAATGTAATTTGAATATTTTGCAAGGTTAACCTACCGTTTCTACTTATCCCAATCATTATGGCAAGCACATTAAACCTATCTGTTTTATGTAATAGCGTAATATTTTAATTACAACATTATCAATGAAACTAAATATTCCCACAAGTGTTTTTTCTTCATTAAAAAAATTCTGAAGTGAACATTTCTGCAGTTTTTTAGTTTTTTCAAGGTTACGCCGTGTAAAGTGATGTATTCGTACTTCTTTGCCTTACATAAATCATTTCCGAAGTAAGAATGACCTCTGAACTTTAAGCTATAAATTTCTTTGCAGTCTCATTAGTCAGGAATGAGGGCATTGTTGAAAGAACGAAAGTCATTTTCCAGCTCACAGGATAAAAGAATGTGAAAGAGCTTTACGAGGAAAACATGGTGACGTTATTAAAATGAAGTTTTTGAACGAAAACAAATGCACCAAACATATTTTTAATTATATTATCAAAAAATGCTCTTTTAAAGTTTTTGTACTTGCTTGTCGTCTTAAACCTGTACTGTATGCTGATGCCATTGGCATGATGCATTGTCCATGGCCATATGTGGGAAAGTCGATAAACTATTATAATTTTTATCCCTCCGACCAGTACCCTCTGATACTGTTGTTAATTTGCTTAATGAAATTTTCCTTTGTGTGTTTGATAGTATACATTTCCAGCTAAATATTGCTTGAAATATTTTATAAAGTTAATTAAAGACTTGGAAATGAACGTGCAAATCCCTTGACTGTTCCGTTACTTAGGAATACATAGTTTTAAACTACGTTTATAAATATTAATCAGTACATTTATGTATTTGCAGCAACAGCAGTCTACAAACCAATTAACGCATCGTGTTATTGGTTAAACAAGATAGTCAAGGAGCAATATTTATGAGATGATGTCCAGAGAATGCCTCAAATATTAAAATGACTAAAGTAAGAAGTTGAATGGAGAAAGGGGCGTGAGAGGAGGAGGGAGGGGAAACAAAGGGGGGAGCGGGACCGGAGAGGGGAGTAAAGAAGCGAAGAGGGCGGCGTGGCGGGGATGCAGGGGGTGGAGGCGGGGTCCGGGGTCAGGGTGAGGAGTGGAAAAGAAGATGGAGACTGGAATGGAAACGGTGGTGACGGGCGTGGGGGTACTGGCGTAGGAACGGGCATGGGGACGTGTCTGGCCGCAAGCGACGGAGAAACTGTGGGGACAAGTGTAGGAAAGTGTGGGGACAAGTGTAGGAAAGTGTGGGGACAAGTGTAGGAAAGTGTGGGACAAGTAAAGGAAAGTGTGGGGCAAGTATAGGAAAGTGTGGGGACAAGTATGAGACAAGTGGGGGGACAAGTATGGGAACAAGTGGGGGGAGAAGTGTGGGGACAAGTATGAGGGCAAGTGTGTGGACATCCTAGGGGACATTCGTGGGGAAAAAGAATGGGGACATCCGTGGGAAAAAGCGTGGGGACATCCGTGGGGACACACGTGGGGACGGGCCTGGGAACAAGCATGAGGACAAGCGAGGGGGGGAGCAAAAAAAAAAAAAAGGAGGAAGGAGATACAATCTGTGGCATTTGGAAGTAACAAAACGAGTTCTCGGCCAGATTTTCTACGTCGTTTTGCTACATGTCATTCCAATTAATCTATCAATTACCTCTTCATTTTCCTATCAAGTACTACTTAGTTCATCTACCTAATAGGAGTCCATGAAATAGCAATTGGAAAGGCCCTAAGCAATTTAAACAGCACACTAAATTTAAATGAATAATAAACCGACAATTTATATGTTCTTGCGTACGTCGAAGTATGTTCTATGCACTGGGATGCGTTTGTCCTTCGCAATATTAAAAGCGTCATCATGAGTTTAAATGGCCGTCTTCATGTGTTTTCCATCCATTTCTTGTAAAGATTAATTCCTCTCTTATGGCTCATGCATACTGACGATCATTTTATTAGTGTACATACCTCTTGCACAAACCTCCTTTTTGCAACTCATGAGAGCTTATGCATAATCATTCCAAACTAGTTTCTCTCTGATTTATATTGTAGCGGCCCTCTTACAAGAGGCATTCTGAGAACAGCCCTTGATTCGAAGTATTTAATACTAATTTGACTTTACAGACTTCTTTCAGGCTTCGTATCCGTGTTCCGACAGCTTGCACGTTCACTGCCATTCAGTGATTCAAAAAGGCAATGCAATAAACGACTACGCGTCTATATTCATTCCATACTCTTAATCATTTCGTAATTGTAAATATACTGTGTTTAATAGTATCTTGTATTTATTTTGCCTAATTTGGTTTTCTAGTAAACTTTTGCAGTTTTTATTTTACGTTTTCTCTGAAATAACTTATTTATTTCAGTTACGAACATTATTTAAATAATACATATTATGCTATTAAGTTGAATATTTTCTAAAATTATAAAAATATCAAACTCTATATCAAGTAAAAGTGAATAAACAATAATTTCGTGTTATTTTGCTACCACCTACAAAAATACTCTATAAGCATTTTCTAATAAATGCCTATTTGTACGTGTAGCGTGCATCATCAAAAACATTATCTTTAATTACAAATTGAGAGATAACTTTTGCCAATGTGAGTGCCTAGGTGTCCGTAGGTGCATGCCATGTTTCTGAACTTCATCGGCTTCGTCCCATCTGACTGGGGCTATACAACACGGAGCCCGAGGGAGGCGCCTGCCTCAACAGCCCGCAGCGGCGCTGCAACTAGGCCAGAGGGAAGTAAGCGCGCGCCGGCGCCTGTAAATACTTTTCACATTTCAATCTGTCTACAAGGATGAGAGACCCAGACTGTTATCCAAAGGTCCATTGTACTAAATGTTTCAGGAGAGCTATTAAAGTTTTTTGTATTGTAATGAGTAAGTATGGAATGGGTTAGTATGGACATGAGTTCTGTTGCACTGCTAAGGGAGTAGAATATTTTATAATTTTGTTTAAATGCAAAACATGTAGACAGGGAGGATGAAAGAAAACTGTAATTTTCTTACGAATTGGACTTCAAACAGTCTGCTTTCCCAACCATCCGATATGTTCTAACAATATCTTGCACCGAACAAGTAAAGAACCTTACACTATTACTAAATATATCTAGTTCGTTGACTAGAGAAGTCTGGCGCTGCAAGAAATGGTTTCAATTGGATGATGAGAAATGTTGTGCAGCCCCCACTCACCTTTACCCCCACTCACTGTGTACGCTTTACTATTAACACGTTTTTCGCAAATAGAACATGTTTAATTTTATTTTAGCTTTTCGATTTGTATGGTTGAGTTTTCTCAAGTTAATCATATATTTAGAAATCTTTTTTGAAATGTGGGATAATTATAAAAATAATAAAATACAAGAATGAACCATGAACCAGGAAATACATAACAATAAAACCACGCCAGAACAATTAAGGTGGCAATAAGTACTTGGCTATCCGAGACACGCCGCCATCCTAGCGCCAAGGTGCCAACACTTCAGCCGTCACTTCTGGCGACTTCCACAGGGCGAAGTCGCCAGTATTTGGCATCCGAAACGTTGTTCACCTGTGCCTAGACTGGCGTCCCCGGACAGCCCAAGTAGTTGGGAACTTTTTTTTTGCCTTTTTTCTACCGGCCTCCCAATGATATGGTGATGATGTGGTTGCAATCGGTGCATGATGACTGGTGTGGTAGGTGATGATGATGATTGATGGTGATGATGATGGTGTCGTGGTGTGATGCGTGGCTGATGCGTGATAACTGATTATGGTTATGGTGATGATGGTTGAGGGTGCATGATGCATTGATGATGATGATGGTGATGGTGATAATTGGTGATGTTGATGATGCCGTGGTTATTGGTGATGGTGCATGATGATGGTGATGATGTCGTGGTGCGCAGGTGCTGGCGGCACGAGCCACATGAAACGGACATGATGATGTACATGCGCGGCAGCCGCGCTGAACTTCGACGGTGGGCGGCGCGCCGCAACGCGGCTGAGAGCTACGAGGAGTGCTGCCCTTCTTTCATCAAGTCGGAAGGACAACTGCAGCCCGCGGCTGGCCGACAACGGCTTCACGGCCAGGGGCGGCCCGCTCACCGTCAACGCATTCCCCTACCACCCGCCGCTTCGCACGCCATCATTCAGGTGACGCCCGCCTTCATCTTTGGCCTTTCGCCCCCGCCGCGGCAGGCGCTCGCCCGTTTGCCACGGCCTCGCAGCCGGACATAA